TGGCATTTGGGATGTCTCTGAGTCGTTGATTCAGTGTTTTCACCTGCACACAGAGGAATGAGGATTATCGGAGCTATGAGTTTGACCACCTCCTCCGTCAATCACCTGCAGGTAAATGAAGCCACTCACCACCAGGTAGTCAACGGGCAGAAAGGTCTCTGGCTCGCCTCGCTGCTCCTTGAGGAAGCAGATGCATTCGCGGGCGACCTTCTCAGTCGCCACAACGATTGCATTCATGTTGGAGCCAAACACTTTGGTAACAGCCAGCTGGTATTTCTTATGGACTGGGCTGCAGAGATCAGACAGTCGCCCAAACTGCAACAGAACAGACAGATGTCAAATGACAGGTTCCTGTCTGATCTCACACTTATTTGTGTACATACATTCAGCCTGTCTGTCAATCAGCCAAATGGAGGCAGAAAACATTTACCTGCCTTATTGCACATCAACATGAAAAACCCAAAGCTGCTGGGAGAATCTTGGATCAAAAATAGGTTCAGTTTTTCCAGTATCATTATCCAAGAAGGACTACCTGTGACGGTAACAATGACCCGATCGTGCTAGCTATGTTTAAACACACAAAATTTGAAGATCAGGACAAAATTTTTAAATGAACATACAGTAAGTAATCTGAATAAAACGTGTCATGCTGATCTGATTATTCTTACTTACGTCTAGCCATGTAAAGTGCACATACACTCTAATATCAGCTTGCCTCCTTCAGTTGAAACAAGTGTTTACATGGATGCTGATTGGACTGTCAGTCAGGATAAAACACGAATCTAAGCTGGATTACAAATCGATTCTTTACCTGTTGAATCCAATCAGAATATTCTGACTGGCTTTTTTACATGACCCATTTTAGTCCAATCAGCCGTTAGTTACGGTTCTTTACGTCCAGGTATAACATGAAAGAAAACACAATTCATTCCACCAAAAATTCCTCTCATCAGCTTTGATAATATATATATTTTTTTAATAAATTGAATTGTCATTACTATCTTGAAATTATGATTTAAAGCAGTTATAGTTATGGGAAAGTTGAGGGTTTTTATCATGGATGTTACCTGTGACATCACTTCCTCCTTCACCAAACCGTTCAGGATTTTTATGGAGGAAGGTTTGTTTTTCAGATCTTTTGTTCATTAATTGTCTAAAAGTCATATAAGACTAAATGTTTTACAATATTAGAGCTAACATTTATGGAGGATATTATTTCCATGTTTTATATAAAGTTTAGCCATCAGTCAACAGAACGATCTAGTCGAGCGTAAAGTAGGTTGACTGCTTCTCCCACGTTGTGTTGCAGTTTTTCATATTTATATTTGTGGTTCATGAGACATCATGGGTCGCCACATAGTCCAGACTTTAACCTCATGGAGAACCTTTGGGATGTGCAGGAGAAGGTCGACTCTACCATCATCAATGCAAGATCCTGGTGAAAAATGAATGCACCTCTGGGTGGAAATAGATCTTGTGACACTGCAAAAGCTTAGTGAAACAATTCCACATGCTGTAATAAAAGCTGACAATCTTGTCACCTTTT